ATGGATGGTGATAAGAGTTGTACAAGCCCCCAATAAGATGATTTTAAAAGAAAGAAAAAATGAAGTGAGAATACTAGCTACTATGGAATGGTCATCATGCTGAATGTGGCAAGAGGAAGATCAGCCCAGCAGCAATGGACAGGCTGGCTCACAGGGGCGACCACATGCATGAAGGAGGCTATTGTAGACGTACAGGCAAAAGATAATGGCCCGAAGTCGGTGTGCCATGTCTGTTCACTTCTCTCTCCCAGGGTAGACTGCTGGGCCTGGCACAGTACAGGTGCTCCGTAGATAATGAGGGAGGAGGGAGGGAAGAGGGGATGGGGTATAGGAGTTCTTTATGGTTCACAGAGCCTAGGAGTGCTCTGCAGAGTCAATCATGGAGAACGAACGTTCCCTTGGACTGACCTGGACAGGGCGAATGGCCATGTGTGGGTAAAAGAACTGAGAGAGGCTGCGAAGGGGCTGGCTCCATAAACATACAGTGATTTCTCAGAGTCTACGTTTTAAAAAGAAACCGAGTCACGGTGGTCTAAGAGGAAGAGCCAGCCTAGGGCAAGGGGAAAGACCTCAGCTCCAGACCCTGCCCTTCCTTCATTACATCCCCACGGTGGGCCACCAACCACCTCTAGCGCTTTCTTATAAAGGGGTTTCTCGTCCTGGCTTTTAATTCTTGATTCTACATCCTGTCAAACAAATTTGTACAGCTGTTCATCATTGGGGGACACATGAATCTGGGGAGTGGAAGAATGAACTACATAAAACTAAAACTCTCACAATAAAAAATATAATTATTAGACTGTATGATAATTGCCGTGGTCAATTTGTTTTTATAACACATCTGGGAAGTAAAACCTGGGTATATTCTAGAATTCCAAATGAAGTGTCCATCTAGAAAACACAGAATTCATCATACACTGACAGCGCCTGTGAAGCTGAAAACCTATTGCTTCTTTTACTGGAACCTTCCCTGTTCGATCAGTGTGTACACAGGCAGGGCTCGTTTGAGTATTGGACTGCTGTTAGGGTTCAAATCCAAGTTGTTCTAAGTCTGTGATTAGTCTTAGGGCCTTAATAGTGATGCTGCTCACAACTGATTGTGTTAACCACCATATGGTTAACTCTCACAATAGTTTATTTCTGCAGAAATTGACACAGTCCCTATGTCCACGCTAATGATTCAAAGTAAGACATACTTAACGAGCAGCTGCTCATTAATCCTGATGAGCTGGGAGTGGGAGGGGCGGGGAGCAAAAAGCATGTAAAAGAGGAGCACGGTGTCTTTCGCAGTGTGCCCATGGGCTTGTCCAACCACAAGCATCCACGAACATTAAAGATCACACTTCCGTAAGTTACTATCCAGCACAAATGAGACGAAGAAGTGGATAAATGAGCCAAGGTACCACAATGGCCCCTAGTTTCTTACTGTTGTTCTTGTGAGCAGCACCTTTTCATCAGACTGGGGAACAATTTAAATCCGAGTACCTTTAGTGATGAAGCACATAAAATAAAAACCCTACAGTACAGGCTGCAGAAGTCACGTGGACCACACTGGTTCTTTATCTTGGTCATCTTGTTGTCATTACCCAACTGGGGAGAATAAAACCTGAGTGCTGATATTACAGTGTTCCAAATCAGCTACACTCCGTTGAGTATTCTTGATAACCTGTCAAGGGAGTACTCAAGACTCCGGTTGGCAGTGTCTACTCAAACCCCCATGGGAGATGGAGTCGTGGCCAGAGTGAATTTCAACTCACAGCAACTTTACCGGGTTCCCAAAATGGAATATCCTTTACAAGAGCAGACAGCCTCATCTTTATCCCATGGAGCGGTTGGGGTTTGAACCACCAATCTTGTGGATAGTGGCCCAGTGCTTAGCCCATGTGCCACCAAAGCCCCTACCTGGATGGAATTCTTTTACACTTTCACTTTGAACGTTGCTCCATGTTCTTATCCTCTAAGGCAGGGGGTCCTCAAACTTTTTAAACCGGGGGCCAGTTCACTGTCCCTCAGACCCGTTGGAGGGATGGACTATAGTTTAAAAAAATACTGTAAACAAATTCCTATGCACACTGCACATAGCTTATTTTGAAGTGAAAAACAAGACGGGGCAAAAACACCCGGCAGGTCGCATGTGGCCCGCGGGCCGGCCGTAGTTTGAGGAACCCTGCTCTAAGGAATGCGTCCTGCTAGCAATCAAGGGGGTTGGGGGGGATGTAAATCTACATCTTCATATCTGTCTTAGAGCAAAACTACATCACATCTAGTACTATACTGTAAGAAAAGCTTGTTGTACTCAATGTCAAATCCATCTCTTCTCAGTCAAGGCTAAGGAAAAGGCAACCAATTTTTGTAGAGATAAGTCCATGATCCACCTATTCGTTACAGCTAGAACTTTCCCTAGTTACACAGAACTGCTGCTGACTGGCCTTAGAGCTACTTGCTAGAAAACAGGTAAATAGTTCCCCCACACAACTCAAAAGAATTAAAATGGGCTTAGCTACTCATAAGGAACCCTGGTGACACAGTGGGTGATGCGTTGGGACTGCTAACCCCACAGTCAGTACTTTAAAACCACCAGCTGCTCTGCAGAAGGAGGAGGCTTTCTACTCCAGGCTTTCTACTCCCGTCAAGAGTTGCAGCCTTGGAAATGCACAAGGTCAGAGTCAGAATGAGTTTGATGGCAGTGAATCCCCTACTCATATCTTCTCCTCCATATCTCATTAGACACCCGAGAGTCCTCTCAAGTATGAGTGGTTCTAATGTGAAATAAACAACTGAGTTTCCTGTGGAATGAGAATTTCCGACTATGGTATCGTCGCATTGATTGCCAAGTTACACAGGTGCACATCGTTGCTTGGTTGGTGTCAAACATCCTAGAATTAGGCTCAAAAACTCTTTCCTCTTCACCTCTTCCTGAATCCACGACAGTCGTTTAAGGTGGGTTTGCCAAAACTATATTCTGAGAGTGAGTTTTTCAACAGAAGCACATGAACTTCACAGAAAAGAAAAAGTCCTTTAAGAAGTGCCCCTTAACTGCCTCAGAGTAACCCTAACCCAGTCAATCAGTTTGAGGCTGGAAACCAAGCAGCTGCTTGAAGATGTACCGTATATACTCGTGTATACGCCGAGTTTTTCAGCACATTTTTTAATGCGGTTTTTGTGGTAAAATTAGGTACCTCGACTGATATTCGGGTCAGCTTATACTTGAGTATATATGGTAAATCCTTAACCCTGGCTCTCCTAGCCCAAACCCCCAGCTGTCACTCAGTATCTTTGCTCCAGGCGTCCCTGAAAAACACTCTAAGTCAACACAAACTTGGACTACAGAGACCAAGAGCTTCAGCCCGACAGCTGGTGTGCTCCATTGGAGAAAGAGGAAGTGCAAGAAGGGGATGGGTGATCTTTAAGAAACACGACCACATGTCTTCAACTGCTGCCCGCCTCCTCCCAAGTTGCAAGAGTGTAACTGCATCGTCTACCACAGTGTGGAGTGCATGACACAGTACCAAGAGCCTCTTCCTCCTCCTTTCTTCCATGCAACCTACGAGTTTTGTTTTCAGAAAGGCAATGCAGGTCAGCAAGCTCCTGCCTACAAAATCAATCCAAGGTGTTCCCCTCTTTGTCTCTATTAAACCCACCATATTCCTGAGCTTTATTTCCTACAAAAGAAGTATAACAAGGGCAACTTAACGCTCTGAGGTCAACAAAGGGCAGCATCCCAGTGTGAATCCAGACGAGAGCAAGACTTTGCTGCAAAAAAATAGTAGAGCTTAACACTGTGTATAAGCTGCTAATGATCTGTAACAACATTTCCCAGGTTCTCCAGACAGAAGATGTCAATTCGAGCAGGATCACGACAAGTCTTAACCATGCCTTCGTGTGTTCAACTGCGTGACCTTTGCCATTGACCGTGTGTGCCTGGGTATGGGGTTCCCTCGCCCTCAAATCTTCACACCTATGAAAGCACAACAAAGAATAAAAATTTTTATGTCAAAACTCTCCTCCAAGAGCCTTACGAATGTTCCCACATGAATCCTCACAACATCCCTGTGAGGTAGGTAGGTGGAGAGTTAGTATCATCCCCACTTGACAGGTGGGGGGAAATGAGGCACACAAGAGTTAAGGGACTTGCCCCAAATCACACAGCTAGTCACTGGCAGAGCTTAGAATAAAACTTGTACTGAGGAGCACCTCGCACAGTGCTGTGCACATAGTTGGTGCTCACTAAATGTCTTGTGAGTGTCATTTGACTTCCGTCTCAACATACAATGTACACACATAAAGTACAAGCAGCCACCACAGACACGTGTCTCCTACACTTTTTTCTGATGGTGCCTCCATGACTTTGGATCCTGGTGGATGAAGGATGTTAAAGGAGCCCGCTGGCCACTGAGCCTCAACGGAAGAGGATCAGCACTCACACCCCCTTTCGGCAGCCAGGCTCTCCCGTCTGCTCTACCGCGTCCATCTGGACTCGTCATGAGAACAAACAATGATTTTCAGGAACCATGCTGACTCTTTGTTTGCTTGCTTCTGGTGGTTCACTGTAAATGAAGCCATCTGAATGGTTCTGTATTTATTCTTCCAAAACAAAGAAAGAAAAGAAAGGCGGCGGCGACAGTCCAGCTAGCATGTGAGCACTGTGCCGAGCGCAGTGGTCTCGTCCTGGGGAAACGGCACCAACCCAGGGACCGGGGGCTCCACCAGCAGAGGGTCACTTGCACTGTTCGTGGTCCGTGTAGTCATCCATGTCCACGTCAGAATCAAAGAGCGAGTGTCCAGTGAAATCCGTGTCTGGGGTGCGGGAAAAACTGTTCTCTGCTCCCTCATCTTCGAAGGTCTCTGTCCGCGAGTGAAAGCTGAAGTCCAGCAGGGGCGTGTGGCTCTTGGAGGCCTCGCTGCTCTCCCCCGACTCGTAGACCGTGTTGTCGTCATCGTAATGCCACTCTGGCCAGAATTTCCTCCGGATCCGCTCGCAGTACATGGCCAGGTTGATCAGCTCACCTGCAGTGTGTGAAGAAAAGCAAGAGTGAGTCCTCAGCCAACAATCGAGCGGCCACTCAGAGAGAGTCTTTCCACAGAAACACTCCAACTCTCTCGATTGGGGGCACATCATAAAAGAGGTGAGTGGGCGGGGCGATCAAGCCAAGGGGACCACGGGGAGCATGTCAGTGTCCTTTCTCTCGGTCTTCACCATCGCTATTACCCCACATTCACGGTCCCGTAAGCATGTTCTCGTGTCGCTGGAACTTTCCCTGGAAAGCTGACGTGGAGAGAAACTCTGGGGAGAAGCAGACGGACTGCTGATCCAAAATGGCAGAGACGGCTCCCAGGTGACGAGGGAGGTGTCTCATCATTTCAGGTTGGCAGGCCAAATGAACTGTTCTGATCTGCTTGTATTTAAATCCATGTATCTTCGATGAAAATACAGCAACTGTCGGAGTAAGTCACTCAGAAGTAGTGAGCGCTCTATTCCACCAACGTGTGCAGTGGGTTGCGACAGCGGCCTAGCTGCTCCATCATGTAGTCGAGAGACGTTTGGGGACATGAGTGCATGGCCAAATCATGAAACGGAAGGACACGTAGGCCTTCCAATACACCTACCTAAACAGCTTTTTTACCTTCAAGCTGAAAGCCTGTACCCACAATTGGGTTCATGCTCAAGTTGGCTGCTTCTCTTTCATGTGAGCTGAAGGAATCCTTTTGCTAAATCTCTACAATTGTCTGAGCATTTGGCTAAAGCATAGTTAGTAGTGCCGGGCTGTCGATGAATCATTCCAAGAGACAGGGTGAGTTATCCCTTTGATCCACCAGGTGGCAGCATTGCTTATAAATACAAGAGTATTTCTGCCTTCGTAGGCTGAACTTTCTCATCCTTACAGATACGCTTTGTACGTGTATTTTTAAGTTACATAAACATCATCTTACTATGTAAGTAATCCCTGTTTCGTTGCAGAATAAGGATAAAATA